GCGGGTCTACAGCGGTGGGCGAGCAGAAAGTATTATTCCGATGTTAATTTCAATGCCTGGCAGGTTCTTCACCAGGCATGAATCTGAGTTCGACAGCATCCTTCGATCCCTACTCCCCCGTATAGTCGCTCTAAGGCGTCGGCGCCCCTTCCGAGACCTCCCTTCTAACTTTTCTCTGATGCCTGCGCTTCTGTCGCTGCACGTTGGCAGCGACAGAAGCGCAGGCATCAGAGAAAAGTTAAGGCGGGACACTGGGCTGAAAGGCGTTCTCAGAAACGACGCCATCTGCGGTTGTGCGGCATGACAAGGAGCGGTATGGATATATACCACGCGCATTCCATGAAAGCGAAGAAGGTCAAAGCCATTCTGCGCATTCGAGGGCTTCGAGCACGACTTCGCGAGCTTCGTTTACGGCGACCTACCTAATAAGAACCAGATACCACTGGATATTTCTTCTGAGGGAGGTGGCGTGGCCCAACAGCGTCCAGAACGCTAGCGAATTACTCAATCCAGAAGGCGTGGAGTTCGCGAATGTGGAGATTTTGGGCGATGCTCGTGCGCAGGTGATTGTTACTTCGATACGTGTAGCAATGCCGACGCAGCTCTATACTGCACACACGATTCCTGCAACCTGGATGGAAAATGTAGCAATGCACCGAGAACGTTAACCACCTTGCAGCTGTTTGATACGGGTCGTGTCGGGGTGGGTATTTGCACAAGCACAGACCTTAGTGTCGGCGACATTATCGGCGAGTATACGGGGGTTCTCAGTGCGTACGACCCGATCGACGCGGCGGGACCTGGTCAGAGAATGAAACACAACACCGGATATACGATGCTTCTGAACACCAAGTCTCGCAGAAATAAGTACGTGTACGTGGAGGCGTTGAGCTGCGGGTCGATGATGCGGTTCATTAGTCATTCCTGCACTCCGAACGCTGCATTCGTCGAGGCTCAGCACAGATCCAGCGTGAAGGTGATGGTACGCATGATTGAAAACGTCTACGCGGGCGCTCAGATCACAGTTGATTACGGTAAGCATACGTGGTTTAAATGTGCGTGTGACCAATGCTGGACTTCACCAGAAGGGAGCGAGGCCACAAGCAATTGATGTCGTAGCATTCGAGAAATACCCTCGGGTAGGTTGAGTTCTACTTCGATTGGTATGCACTATCATTAACATAGTAGAGGTTTCAATTGCGTTCTTTGACTTCTGGAGAGAAAAAAATAAGAAAACGTAACTCGAGCACTAATTTAAGAAGCCTTTGCACTAACCCTCTAGTAGATTCTACTCAGGAGGTCTTGGGAAGGAACTACATGTACTGGCACCGACCCCACTTGGAAACGTTGGCCTTCTAGAGTGATCGTACAATACCCTCGGGTTCTACGTGTAGCTACAGGACTGTTTGTAAGTATCATGTATATTTACCCACACCAATGACCAGCGAATCAATCGTGGACGCCTAGAAAGTGAGGGCGGACCCAACACTCACAGGTCTTCCGCCCCCGTCGTCTCCAGCTCGCCTGCGTTTGCTCCTGTTCACAAGCACGTTGCGACCACTGCTGTCTACGTTTTCTGTGACTCGAAGCGCAAAAAGCACGTGGACGCACACTTCGAAGGCATAACAGTAGTTACAGGGGCACCATCGCTGAATAAGGTCGACGGGCCAGCCTCCCCACGGCTGGCCCTGCACTTCCATCCGTGCGTAGTTCACGCCCATTTGTGCGGAAACTGCAATGCCCTCTTCCTTTCTGTTGTGCGGCGCCACGGACACTCGTTTCGCCAGTTGAGATGCCACCTTTAAGGTAGTAGAGCCCCCCGCATACCTATACTCAGGCATGAGTCCGACGGACACACCAATGAGTCTCTCACGTGTCATTTCTGCGACCCTACGCGTGAGGGTTTTCGAAGTAGAGATGTCGTAGCTAAAGGGCCGAATACTTGTCGAAAGATCATGGCAACAAGCCGCCAGCTCGCGAAACAAAGTACCCATCTTGAGTCTGCGGCGTAGCGTGTAGTCTCTCTTAAGCAACGCATTGAAAGTTTCGGAGGGATTGTTCGTGGCTGCGAAGCCACTCGGAGTTAGGAACGTTTGCCAGGCTCTGAAACGACCATGCAACCACTGTGCTTTCATGTATTGCGCAAAACCCACCAAACTTGAATCGGACATCCAATTCATCAAAATCACCTCCCGAAGTTGCTGGAACTCGAAATCGCTTTTTGTAAAATGCAGGTCGTACACATCTCGCACAAGTGCAGCCGTCACACCCGAGAAAAATGTCTTAGTCGACTTCATCACGTTTTTAATGACGTGGAAAAAGCACATAATGAACTGGAAGCCTGGATAGTGCCCTAAGACAGCATGTAGAGCGTTATATTGGGCCTGGTCGGCGTCGGCCATCGCGTAGCGGACCTGTAGATCTTTCTGTGTTATCCAATAGAACAACCGACGTAGCGAAAAGAGGGCTGCCTCGAAGATGGGTTGCGTTTCTTGAGAGACGACGTATAGTGCGACCAAATGGAACCGACGGCTTCGGTCAGACACGCCAACCACGACAACGGGGTAGCCGCGGCAGTTCATCTTGTATGTCGCGTCTATATGTAGAATGAAATGTTCTGGAGACTGCAATAACCTCGTCACCAAGGCTTTGGTAGTTAATCCAACTACAAATGGTTTCCGATCGGAACCGTCGCCGACCACGGGCTTCCCCTCACAATCCAATTGCCAGCCAAATGTAAATGGCTCATCCATCGCTTCTGCTCCCGTGTAGGCCCTCTCGTGAACCCACGCTCTGAGCTCGTCCACTCGGTCGTGGTTTTCAAGGTATGTGCGGCTGTAGTGACTCACATAGTTCTGCACCACCCCCAGAGGTGGAAGACTATCTTGCGGCACCGAGAACTTTCGGGAAAGCGCATGGTGAATGCGCAGCGGGCGCACGTGCAGCTCTGCTAGCTCGCGGCAAAATTCCTTTTGAGCTCCGGTGAGTTTCTTCTTCTTTGCTGAGACGACCTCGCTTTTGTGGTCTCCAACGTCGTAAATCGACACACACCTCGTGACCGTACAGGTCAGCAACTTTCCGCGCCATG